GTGTGTGTGTGTGTGTGTGTGTGTGTGTGTGTTTGAAAGAGAGGAAGGTGATGGAGGCTGAGAAGTAGAGCGAGGAGGCGGGACTGTTACCAGAGCTGCTCAGCTCACGTGCAGTACTCCTGATACTGCAGAGACGATGAGAAGAGACACTCGATGGTTGAATTCTGTCTAAATCTAGCCCACCATGAGCGGACATCGTGGGGCTGTGATGCTGTGGTGAAGCAGAGGTGAATCGTGGAGGGAGAGAAGAGGATAAACCCAAAAGAGACTTTTCTGTTGCCATGGGGGGAACCCTGAGCCAAAACAGGAAGGGATCAGTTAGCTCGCCTGGGAAGAAGAGCAGCATGTGAGACCATGTTTGTCATTGTTTACATGTTTGTGTGCATGTCTGAAGAGCTGGGTTTGATTTACAAGAGAAAAAGAATGGACACTAAGAAACTGAAGGGTTGCACGTGGACTTTACCTGCTTTACTGAAGGCAAATTAGCTGATCTTACCACACTGTTTCAGCCTCTGCTGACTGGTAGTTTGAATACTGCTTAGGTATTCAAATATAAGGAGAGGGAAAAGGGCAAGACCAAGGAGTGGTACAGCTGATGCCATAGTGAAGCGTTGAAATAAGGATCGTTTTGCTTTTAGAATAAAGTGTCCTAACCTTCTTTGGCTTCGATGGGTTTTTCTCATGTAGCTTTTTATAGCGAAGAGATCTGGCTGCTTTCAGATATTAATTATGCAGCTGTGACCTTAATTCTGAATTAAATCATACAAAGTGTGCAGTTTGTTTCTGACTGAGCAGATACTACAGGCTTCTAATTTATGCATGCAGAGATTTTCTTGGCAAAATGCAAGGAAAGTGAATGGAGATGTTACTATTGCAAGGCGTTGATCAAAGCTTCAACACTTCCTCATTTTCTTTTCCTTTGATCCTTTGTTGATGGTTGAAGAAAGTAGTGTTTACACAYGCTTTTATTTACCTTTTTAAAAGCTCCCAGAAACCCTTTGTAGTGAATGCCTGTCTTTGTATTCATAAAGTGATGGTGGCCATGTAGTTATAGCTACTTGCTTCTTAAGCCTTTAGTGCTTCTAGTCATAAAAACAGTAGTTTTATTTTGAAATATYTTTTGATGGTCGTACTGAGACCATMGTTGCAGAACGGAAACATGCCGGCTTTAAAGATCAGAGCTCAGATAGAGAAACAAACATAGATTTAAGCAATCCATGCTAATAATACTGTGTGTTAAAAAGATCTTTATCCATGTTTTTGTATTAGTATCAGTGGGGGTTGGGGTCCTCCTCTTGTGGGAACACAGTGTAACGAATCRGTGCTTTGGGATTGCATATTTAGCTTTTGGACTAATTTTAGTTGCCTTAGTCATCCATTTTTAAAGCTCAACTGGAGCATTCTTCTCCAAAAGCCCTGAACATCTCCACAGTCACCCAGCTGGAAACAGACTGACCTGCATTTGGAWGGTCTGCCCTTTTCTCTGGAGAAACATGCTTTATGAATACATAAAGACACAATTTATTAGTGATGATTTTAGTAGAACACAAGAATTCAGTGTAACGGCTTTCAAATAAAGTGAAACTCTGTACAAATGCTTTTTCAAATACATGTTTCTGTAAYTTCACTGATAAAGTAAAACTTAGACTGACTTGAACTCTAGATAAGAGGAGAATAAAAGACAAAGAAATGAYAGTAGATCACTAATAGATATGTAGCCTGTGTGTGTGTATGATGTGCACAAAGGCCCTGTTATAATCACAAACAATAGCTCTGCTGGTGTCCCTACATGGCTGCTCTGGGGTCAAACCCTCCTCTTCATGTCTCATTCTTTGTCTCGTTGTGTCTCCACACCGCTGTCAGTTCTGCTGTACTGTAGCACTGTGATGGCCTCAGCTCCACTGAGTCCAACTCTGTTCACTGATTGTTTTCTGCTCCGCTTGCAGAAAACTGAATGTTATATGTATWAAAAAAATGAGACTTTAATGTTAAGGCTGCTGTAAATCCTAAGGAATATCAGAGGAGTCTGTAACTGAGCCTGCCGTATTTGAATACAAWACCAAGCTGCTTCTGGGTGTAGTCTCTTTATTGATGTTTTCATAGTTTACTTTTTCTCTTCTTCACTGCCATGGTGATACCAGACTTCCTGTCATCTTAGTTTAAGCTCCCAAAGGTGACATCAGACTTATTTTGGTTTCTTTCACAGACTGCTTCTTCCTTTGGGTCCTTTCATGTTTGTAAACTGATGACTGTTTCTTAAAGCTCCAGTCTCTGCTGAGCTTTGAAAGGGTGCAGGYCCAATACTAACCACCAGATGGAGCMACAACATAAAGTAAAKCCTCAGATCCTCAGTTTCAATGATGCTGATTTGGAAGAAAGTCACACTTTTTTCARCTCATGTGAAACAGACCTCATTTCAGCCTGGGACTTTAAAGTTTTTGTTTCCTCCACGGTCATAGTTTTCTACCCAGCTGCCCTGGTTGCCCCGTCTCACTCCGACATACACACAGCTGTTGTTCATCTGTGATCCACTCAGCTGCTTTGACTCAGTAATCAACTCTCCTTAGATAAGTTGTACTCAGTTTTCTTGCTCATAGTCAGGTCCTTGTRCGTAAGTCTGTTCAGTTCTTTTTTCTTGGGTGTTACACCTGCAGTCAGTTCTGGATTTGTTTATATTTATGGAATATTTTGACATTTACTCAACGTCCTGCACTTTTGGGTTCACCTCACCAAACACTACAAACTTAGCTTAGCATTATCTACTAGTCTGTTAGTCTTGCAGTAAGGTGAARTGAAGAACACACAATTACTTGCATGTCAAATATAATTTATATAACATAAGTCAGTTTAAATAAATAAGTTTTTTCAGTTCGATGGTTGGGGTGCTTTTACCGTTAAATTGAGCTCTTGGCAGGTTGAAGGGAGAGTTTAAACCTGGGCTTTTTGCAGTTCTGAAGTAGGGCTGTGCAGTGACGGTGCTTAATATTGCAATGACGATATTACTTGTGACAAATGAACAAATGCACAAGTATGTTGATGTCTTTCTGCTCAGGGTTCAAAACAAACAAACAAACAAAAAAAAAACAATCCTTTCCATTCCAGCATGATTTATTTTTTTAAATATAAAGAGATCTAATTGGCCAGATACGTGAAGAGCTCCATTTGATTGGTGAAATACTTCAAGTTTTCATCTAAGTGACAAAATGCGTAAATGCAAACTTTTGAACCATCCTTTTATTGCAGTTTATGCAGTTTTTTTTTGTGATATGCATATTGCACAGGCTGTTATCACAATGATGATAAATTTTCAATATACCGTGCTGCGCTAATCTGAAGTAGCTTTTGTGGTTCATTTATGTCTATTGACCTATTTGGAAAGGCCAAAATATCAGAGACTATTAGAATTATTATGGTCCTTCAGTTGGAAAAATATTCAATTTGAAAGTAAGGTTCAGGATTAGAAGTATTTGAGAATAAACATTTGACATATTTTGCTGATTTTCCTCTGTGTTCACACTTTGATCTTTATTAAAAGTACCATATCCCACTCTGTTGTGGCTCTGACATGTTTACCATGGCTGGTTTTATTCTTAGCTCACAACCACATGTGCTGCCATCAGTCAGGATCTAATTGAAGGCTAAGGATGTGCATTCCTGTTGGATTAGCTGATTAAGTGCATCAGATAGTCAGAGGCAAGTGTATCTAAAGAAATATTGTAGGTATGTTTGTTTTCTATATTAGTCACTGTTTGTGTGCAGAGATAGCAGCCTTGGTTTATTTATAGATGCGGGTGTGATTTTTCTTATTTATTTTATTACTGCTCGCACTAAACTTCGGTGTAAGGATATATATATATANCACACACACACACACACACACACACACACACACAGAGAGAGAGATAAAATCACTAAAATAAATATATTCTTTAGATTAGCACCATAAAAAACAAATTTTAAGTCAAAATAGTTACTGTCCTGTACGTAGGTGTGTATGTGCTCCATCCTTCCTGTTTTTTTAAAGTTGGCAAACACAGAGGATGTAACTGTGTAAGCCTGTTTGTGTAAGTGCCTCTGTGTGTGACAGAGGTCTGAGGCATTTGGGAAATAATTGCTAAAATCTGGGGAATGAGAGGCCACACTTTCCAAAGTTTCTTTTTGGTTCATTTACAGTTTCTAAGTAACCATCCAAAAACTGCAGCCACTGGGGCCATCAATGGGGTGTGTGTGTGTGTGTGTGTGTGTGTGTGTGTGTGTGTGTGTATATATATATATATATATATATGTATGTATTTCCACTTCTTTGTTAATTAGTGTCTTTACTAATAAGAATGTCAGACATTTTTATATGTTAAAACACAACATGTGTGCCAGTTTACAGGAATCCAGTTTACAGTTTCAAGGTGTGTCTGTGAAAGCGGTTGGGTTTCCCTTATCTATTAAGTAGCATTGTTGGCTCCTAGCCAACATCTTTTGTTTCCTTTGGTAGCAGGTTTTTTATATACAAGTTTGAGATTTTAACCTTATCCCAACACTCACCTTCTTTCGCTTTAGAATCCAAAAATATTTTTATCATCCTCATTTTCCTGTTTGGTTATTTTCAATGCTCTTTTTAATTGATGCTTATTTGTGCAGATCTTTGTCTCACTGAATGATCAAACAGAGCAACTTTTTTCCTCCCCGTGTTCACTAGTGTGTAGCATTGTTAGTGTGGTGAAGCATGCCTTTTCCTCTATCTGCCCACATGTGTCTGTGTGGACTGGAGCCACGTGAGGTATTATATCTGCATTTTACTCGTGAAAAATAAAAAGAGAAATGTCTTCATGTTTTAGCTGCGTTCACCTCGTCACATAATCCTGCTCCTCCTCCTCGTGAGAGATTAGTCACGCTCTGTGTGTTTTTAAAAGAACGGACCAACGGGCCTGGATGCTCTGCGTTTGTGGGAAAAGAGTTGAATCAATATAAAAGCTTGGTCTTAGAGTTACATAAGCCAGTAATGACACGTGTGAGCAGGGATGAAAGCTTTTTTTTTTCTAAATCCATTTTTAAATTTTTCTCCTGCGAGATGGATCACTGCGTCATTACAGCCGAATCTGGGCGGGTTGKATCGATCTGTCCTAGTCTGGCCTGGATATTTTTAGTGAACAGCAGATCCTCAGTTGATTTGATTACACCTCATGACTTTATTGGATCATCCCAGACTAAAGCATTCGTTGTTTAGCTTTCTCTTGTTCTTCCAGAGAAAAGAAGCAGACAGTAAYTGCTCACTTGTGAAGAAGCTGCCAGCTGTCTCTGTTGCCAAGTAAACAAGCTATTATCATGTTGGATTACCCTTAAAATACCTTAGAAATTGACGTGAAACACAAGTGTCTTAAAAACAACAAATTTGTAGATTGCAAGAAGACAATGCCTTAAAGATAGAAAGTTAAACTTTACAGTACACTAGGGGCTTTAAAGTAGAAGGCATACTTTTAAAAATGTTAGATTTTGCAGTAATTCAGGCTTTCTTAGATCATAAAATATTACTGTACACCTCCACATTTCCTCCCCTTTCTCTGATTTCTTTTCCATCTGTTTTTCTGGAAACAAACATCTGGTAGTCTTTCTCTCCCWTAAACCAGACTGTTCTTTCATCCTAAAGCACAAACTGTTCCCACCTAACGATTGTCGAACCCCTGAGCATATCTGGGACTGGGAGAGGAAAAGCGACCAACTTACAGAGAGCAGAGCAAACTGATGTGCATTAACCGGCTGATCGTCCACCCAGACAGAGAGCAGGGAGGGAGCAGGAGGGGAGGAGCGACYACTGATGCTTCAGTAATCTGCAGCGTGTGAGTCAGAGCTGTGAAGAGCAAAGCGGCGACAGGAGCAGCTGCAGCACACCRAGACACGTTTCTCTCGCACGAGCTTCAAAAACGCAGCAGAGCAGGATGGGAAAGAAAAGCAGTTAGGTAAGAAGAGGAAGAGAGACGGCCATAAAGAAAACAATTCAGGAGACGGGTCAACATTCCCTTTAACTTGCAGCTGAAAGGCTCTTTTTTAAGCTGTGGGAAGCGGTATAAACAGATCCAGAGAGGAGGGAAGTTTACCATCCTTCTCTTAGACGTGGCCTTGGACGGGCTRCAGAAATGTCCTGGTTGTCTCCGGTCCAGTGGGCCAAATGGACGTGGTCAGCAGTGACTGGAGGTCCAGGAGATGATGGGCAGTCCAGAACAGAGGATGACAAAGACAAGTAAGAGAGCTTGGATACTGTGTGTGTGTGTGTGTGTGTGTGTGTGTGTGTGTGTGTGTAATTGAACACAAAAAATTATCTGCTTTTGTAAAATCAATCAGTGCAGAAAGAAAAGCTTTTTGGTGCCTCCTGGATAGATAAACATTGGTTGTAAATGTGGGTGTTATGATGAATAAATTCCCATGAATCACTCTGACAGGTGGAACACACACACACACACACACACGTTTGCACAGCTATCTAATTGGGGACATTCCATTGACTTCCATTATATTTCTACAGCCTACCCTGAC